GCAGACTGTTCGTATACCTGCAGACTGTTCGTATGCCTGCAGACTGTTCCTGTGCCTGTGCCTGCAGACTGTTCGTATACCTGCAGACTGTTCGTATACCTGCAGACTGTTCGTATGCCTGCAGACTGTTCGTATGCCTGCAGACTGTTCGTATGCCTGCAGGCTGTTCGTATGCCTACATACTGTTTCTGGGTCTGCAGAGACTGTTCGTATTCCTGCAGACTGTTCGTATTCCTGCAGATTGTTCGTTTGCCTGCAGACTGTTAATGAAATCAGCCACAAAATAAGGTCAATTCTTTTTTAACTAAAATTTTAAGTTAATTAATAAAAAATTATATAACGTCATATTATATAATGAATGTCAACTTGCCCCGGACTATTTAATATAATCCATTCTTGTCAACTAATTTGACCTTATTTTGTATCAAGCAAACAAGCAATAAATAAATAAATAAATAAATAAATAAATAAATAAATACAAATGACAATAAAACAAAATAACTGCATCCTCTTTCAATCGAGATCTGATTTTTACAGTTTGAAACCTATGCGACAGTTTGAGCAATAGCCTATCTTAGAATCATTAGACTTCGATTGTGTCAGCATTCCAGTAACGCTGCGAAAAGACGAGTTACGGTATCCAATGTCCGATGCTATAATTAATACAGAAGAAGCAAATACACGCGATATCTATTCACCGTACTGGATACCATACTGGACACTGTGTATCGTCTCGTTCGCACGTTAACATATCACCTAAACACAATATAATATAATCCTACACACCTCTCCAGTCTAGTCTATTTGCATTTTCTACACATATTGAATAAATAAATACACGCTTTCAATATTTCTTGGAACTATACGTTTCTAGGAAAATACTTGATAGTAATGAGTTATTCGATTAAACGAAGTAATTAATTTGTCTGCACAAACGAAGCTGCAGACGAAGACAGACAGGCTGGTCAATTGGGGGGGCTGTTTTGGCTTTTAATAAATAATGTGATCAAAGACGAATTTTGAGACTTGGATAAAAGAAATCACTTGTTGTCCATGGCGGTATACGAAGGTGTAATTGATGCTATCAGTGTCCTTGATATAATATAGATAAAAGAGAGATTCTATAAATAATTCAGAATGTAAACAAGCTATTCGAGGAATTGTACTTTCGTTTTCCATATAAGGCGATCTCAGGTGCGCGCCATTCAAGCGTGATAGTCCACTGACGATAGAACCATTATTGGGTTAAACGTTACGTTGGCTAGCGTTCTAGTAAAAATCATGTCATGAACAGGCCAGTTGCTATGTTGTATTCACAAATGTAAAGAATAAATGCACGTGTGAAACCTGCATCTATTGGTACCCGAGATGCTACCGATTTAGTAAAAATTATTTATAGAAACGGACATACATTACCGTTCAATTTACGTTTCGCGTCTAAAACAAGGGAATTGGACTCGAACAAAAATAGTTTTTGCTGAATTCCCTGAGATCCCTGAGCTGTGTTTATGGCCAGATGAGAGTAAAACGAGACAGTGAAATCTGTAGGTTATTTGAACTGTTGCTCAACACAACGGTTAATTAATTAGTTACTTTCCAGAATACAGATAATTGTTATTACAAAGGAAATAAACGCACGAATTTATGTATCTGGTTAGTTTTCACTGAAAGTTCAATTGAGTAGAAAAATCTGCCCTGGTTGACCTACTATATACATGGTATTGTTTGCAAGAGAATAGTGTTTATCTTTGTAAAAAATTCAAATTAGTTTAGTTCCTGGAAATATTTTCCATATTTTCTTAAATTTTTTACATTTCCATGGTTACCACCAAAAAGAATAAACAGGAATGAAAAATGGAAAAAAACAACAAATTATATTCTTAACATTATAACTGTCTTCAGATATGTCGAGTTTGACGAAGATTCATTCATTCATCTTTTTTTTAATCTTATGTTGGTATATATTAACCTGTGACTCAATTCAATCGATCCCATCTGATTTGAACATGAATATAATTCAGCAAAAATATCATTCAGCAAAAATTAATTCAGCAAATATGTGATTCAGCGCAAGAAATAGAAATGAAATAATTCGACAAAATAAAAGTTATAATTCATCAAGCAGAAATCATAGTTCAACTCAAAAATATAATTCACTAAACAGATATATAACTAAGAGGCGAAACAAAACAAAACTGAAGGGGAGTTGACATCTTATTGCTCTGTGTTAAATGATAAGAATTAGTGACAAATCTTCATAATAATTCAACAGTAACATGTATTAAACGAACAACTGTAGACGCCTTAAGGTCGGAGAACTTTGTCGCCGGTTAGAGTCTTGTCTTGAGTTTCAACGACATGAGGAGACAAAATCTCCAGTCGTTTTCCACCTTGTCGATAATCACGTGCGGAGCATGCAATTGAAAGGAAAATGATTCTGATTGGATGATGACGGTCTGTCTTGCAGACGATAACATTATCGGAGACAATTATCAAACTTGTTGATATTATAAATCCTGTCGGCAACACGATAATCTTGTGGAAGCACGGGCACACGCGAGATTTTACTCAAGATGCGAGTCAGAGACAAAAATCTCCGACCAAGACTGCTCGTGTACCTGAATACTTCTCTGAATGAACCGAGAAATCTTCCTTCTTCCGATGTCGAAAGGTGGAACATAAAATATTTTCCCATAGTTGAATTGATCTCAATATAGACATAAATACATACATAATCCCAACACTTTCTTACATTGGATACTTAAACTTTTACTTTATACACACTTCATATTATGAATACATTTGAAGATTTTGAAGTAGCCCTTTATTTAATTCAATATCAAAGAGTCTCAATAGACAAGGATATTTAACTTCATTCCAAGAACAAATTAGAATTTTAAATCTCAATGCAGATTGGACTTAAATAGAAAGAAACCTGCATCTGATCTAGATCTTCAAACATTCCAACTTACAGGGAAGGTTAAAAGAAAGGGAGATAATCAGAATTAAAAGTTGTAAAGATTTTTAAAGTGTTTATATATTAAAATGATACTTCAGTCTGTAGAAGGTGATCTATATCAAACATTGTATGGTTAATTAGCCAAGTAAAAATGCTAATAGTGGTTATAATTAACTGATTTAGATTTTACTTCATAATCTATTGCTCTCAAAAAAATTAACCCTACTGACTCAAAATCAGCATTGAAAAATCAAACAAATGAGCCCTAGATCTTTTTAAAAAAAATCAAATCGCATAAGTGATCCTCAGAGCGGTTCATAGATCTTCTTTCAAAATAAAACTCCAGTTGGCCAAAAATCTGTTTTGAAAAATTAACCGCGAGGAAATTAACCCCTGAGTGGCTTTAAATATCTACCGACAAACAGCAAAATCGTCGACAGGATTGATATTGTGGAGAGTTGTAATGTTGAGTTATCGAGCTTAAAGAAATCTGAAGTCAATACGAGCATCACGTTGACTAATTGATATTTCGGTATAGTACACCCATGTTAACTCACTAAGTGTATAAAATGCAGGGAGTTGACAAGTATTTGATGTTTCAAGTTCAATATTTATTTTCAATACTCAGTGTTACATGTCGTCTTTAGCTAGACTTTAGATCTATGAATATATTATATATATATATATATATATATATATACCAACCAGAGTCCAATCTATTTATAGGCAAGGAGTGTGGTTTAAACGACGACGACGACTCCTAGACGCAGGTCAGAGCAGTCTTAGTACATTGCTCGGGAAATTGTATCTATAGATAGGCCAAATAGTCTTCGCATTTATAAGACCTATATATAGACGGACCAAGAAGTATTCGTCCTTTTGTTACATAGTTACATAGTTATATATAGTTACATAGTTACATAGTTATATATAGATATATAGTTACAAAGTTATATATAGATATATAGTTACATAGCTATATATAGATATATAGTTACATAGTTATATATAGATATATAGTTACATAGTTATATATAGATATATAGTTACATAGTTATATATAGATATATAGTTACATAGTTATATATAGATATATAGTTACATAGTTATATATAGATATATAGTTACATAGTTATATATAGATATATAGTTACATAGTTATATATAGATATATAGTTACATAGTTATATATAGTGACATAGTTACATAGTTATATATAGATATATAGGTACATAGTTATATATAGATATATAGTTATATATAGTTACATAGTTACATAGTTATATATAGATATATAGTTACATAGTTATATATAGATATATAGCTACATAGTTATATATAGATATATAGTTACATAGTTATATATAGATATATAGTTACATAGTTATATATAGATATATAGTTACATAGTTATATATAGATATATAGTTACATAGTTATATATAGATATATAGCTACATAGTTATATATAGATATATAGTTACATAGTTATATATAGATATATAGTTACATAGTTATATATAGATATATAGTTATATAAGATTGGTTGTATTCTATAAACATTAGATATAATAAAACTGACTGGGAAGTACATTAACAGTTCCTTTTTAGATCGAAGATATGAGTGGTGTGTCAACACAATCGGTTATTCTAATTGATGGGTGGGCAATGCGGCATTGTTACAAAGTAAAAGTGTTGGATCAATTACAAATCGATAAAACCTATCAGATGGACTAACAAAGATAAACACCAAATATATTATATAATCTAGAAAAACCAATAAAAGGAAATAACTATTAAAACATCTTCAAAATATCTGACTATTACGAACTTCGTCTTATACCTTGACAATCGCTAGTAGTATTGTATCAACGATGCTAGCCACTATTCTTGTATCAACGATGCAACGATGTGATTGGATTATACCCCAGCAAATACAGCCAATCAGAAACCTCCACAAAAAAACAAATAGCTGCATTTACAAACTTACTTGATAGATAAGAAATGGTTGTAAACAAAAGTCAAAGTGTGTTGACTTATTTCAACTTCTTATCAAATCTAAACAAAATGCGCATGCCTTTTCCAGAATAAGAACAAGAGCTGCGGCTAATATACCAATAACTAATGGTAACAGTAACCCCTTTACATCGCTCATAGACAAAGGTTTCACAGAGTTGTCGAACTTGCATATTCTAGAAAGATCTCCTTCATGCGTTATATGGTCATATATACCGCTATACTTCAGCCGTCTCATGGCGTCTTCCATATCAATTTTCAGAATAGATCCTTTAGCTACTGCTAGAGAATGAAATGAATCGGGAAACTCTTTGAATTTGATAAAATCCAAATCACAATTTTTTAAGAATGATAAATAGTTATCCACCGCACCGTTTAAAAAGGCGTATTTTCCAGATAGGACGAGCTTAGTCTGTATGTTCAAATCGGGAGACAGAATGTTTGGGTTCGACTCACGAATTCTCATCATATTGGTCCATAAATCTTTCAGCTGCTTGTTCTTGGAATTGATCATCATGTCCGTATGGAAGCTCTGATCCATGGTACCGTACTTCCAATCCGTTCGGTCTAACAACTGCGAGATTCCATTGAAGGGCTTGGTCTCCTTCGGGATGAAGACCTTCGTTAGCATTGCTGTATACAATCCTCCCATTACTACACAAAATAACCACCAAGACGCCCAAATCAGCATCTTTGAATTATTCTTAAAGTGAACATGCCCTCCTTCCAGGAACAAACAACCAGCCGTGAATAGAAGTATATCCAAAACGGTATTACATAGAGACACGCCTTTCGTAAAGAACCCAGTGGATACTATTAACAGAATAGATATACAAACATAACTTGTAACAATACCTAGATAAACCTCAGTTCCAAACGGTCTCCAAAACAAAAGCCATGACGGCTCTTCTCTCTCTTTTCTAAAAACAATCCCAGTTTTGGCTATTTCTAAGTTAGGATAAATGAAGTCAACGACTTTTTGCCTTTCTAGGTTTTCTGTCAGTCGAGCAAAGACTAACGAAGCTTCTTTCTTGACTAATTGGCCCACCATCCCTCGCCATGAGCCGTTTACTATAGCTCCGTACGTCAAGTCTCGGGGTTCAGTTAAAGTATAAGAGAAATTCAAATAACGACTTATAACCTGCAATAGCTGGAAAGGCAGTTGTAAAGGGTTGGGTTGTGAAATTGTCGACACATTCAAATGTCTGCCATTCATTCTGTATTTAAAGTTTGGAAAGACTTTGTCGATTGACAATTCACCATTGGAAACTTCGTCAAAAGTCGTTTGATATGGGTGTTCAACTTTGGTGAATATCTTCGGAATGCAAGCATCGGTAGTTCTTGTCACAACTGATAAGTTAGGTAAGACGTTTAACTGTCCTGCTTCCAATAGAGTGTTTAATATTTTAATATTTGCCGACACCACCATCCATCGAGTCCTGATCTGAAACACGTGTTCTGTCCCTTGAATGAGACACCTCATAACCCTGAGATCAATTCCCTGAGTATTTCCAAGCACTATCAACACATTTAGTTCTTCTCTGCCATGGTATACATCATTAAAAACTTCATATAAAATATTGTAATTCCCGGAACAATTTTCAGCATTTTTAAAAACGTAATCTATTATAAAGAGGTTTCCGTCTGAAAGCTGAAAACTGGATTCTGAAAGTTCTGCATCTCCAACAATAATGACGCTATTCACATTGCAATCGTGATAAACATTTACTGCAAATTCCACAAGACTTTCCCGGCAATTGCTGACGGGATCAACAAAATTTTGGGCATTTACCGCAAACTGAAAAGTGGCAGTTGATACATTTGAATCCATTGTGTTGAAAAAGTCGTTTTGTTCAACAGCTTCTGTGTTATAACCCCTTGTAATCAACACCACCAGCGAAAAAAAGTAAATAGTATTGGATACAAGTAAACTTAAAACGATCATCATGAACTGTTAGCTGAACGTTGGACTAGATGGACTTCTTCTTTTTTAAGATTATCCTGTTTTTCACGTTTAGAATAAAGCTCAATACATCATTTGTGGAGCGATATAGATATACCATTGTTAAAACAGAGCTCAGTACAGTGCTCCAAACATCGATTGTAGTGCTCCAAACATCGATTGTAGAGCCATATAGAAATACCACTGTTAAAATCAAAACTTATTTCATCGTTTGTAATACTTTCAGGTTTGTGGTTTTTATGTAAATTTAGATGTTTGTAGTTGTCATTTATTTGTTATTGTAAATAGATAATAATTGTTATTTATCAACTTTTTTTGTTTCAGGTCCATTAAAACTCATTAACGTGATACAGGCGACTAAATATTGACAAATCAACTCACAGAGGACTGTCTGTTGTGCAGTAAGAGTCAGCAAGCCCACATTCAGTAATTATTTCAGTTATATATGGCTATATAGCCATACCTCATCTCCTGTATCCTCCAACTACCAACTACTACGACTACCAACAACTACCAACTACTGCGACTACCAACAACTACCGCTGTCATCTACCAACCAACAAACCTGCATCCATACTGCATTGACGAGGTCCAGAAGGCCGAAACAGTACTGTCTGCAGTTAACCCTTAGGTATACTATCTCTTATTAAAAGGGTTAATCGGTTTCCAAACAGGCGTATGTTTATATCAAATCGTGGCCTACTTTCGATTTGCCTAAATGTTCTGGTTCTTTATCAATCGTTTTGACCGGATACTAAGTATTTGCCAGACTTTCATGTGGGAATTCAACACGAAGCACTAGAAGACCGGATTACCTGATGTTGTCATGGAAACAGATGCTATTTGATTTCATAGTCCAGAAAGTTCAACAATGTAAATGTAAAAAAACATTTTGAAATAAATTTTATTCGATTGAAAAAGCAACAATAATCAATAAAAATATTATGCACCAAAGAAATAATTACAGTGGAATTTATGTGTATAATTTTTCTCCCGAAACAACGCTCCTCCTTGTTATGTTATTGTGTGATTTGCTTTATATATCAATATTTGGAAGACCTAGGGTATAGAACGGAAACTGCACTTATTTGTGTTGTTGGTGACATTTCCTTGTTGGTAATACTTGATTTGACTGCAGCTCTTGACACAATTGATCATCAAAAACTGATCGAAAGGCTTCAGAGTAGCTAGGGCTTAGATACCACCGGTCCCACTTAACGAGAGATGCTACAGCTGTTCTCATGCGGTCACTTGGATTATTATTATTATCATTTTCGTAGTACAAAAACGTCAAAATAATACAAAACCGTGCTGCACGAAGTCTTCTAAAAGTACCTCAACGATGCCACGTATCTCCAGTTCTCAACTCCCCACATTGGTTGCGAATAAAAGAAAGAATTGAAATCAAAATTTTGTCAATGGCCTATCAAACCATCCATAATTTTTCCCCAGCATACCTACAGAATCTACTGTCAATTTATACACCACCAAATAGAGGATCATGTCCAGAGCACACAAGCGCTTTGGGCATTCTTCTATAGTATGGAAAGGCGCTATATTAAAAGACTTGTTAGGTTAATCATTATTATAAAAATTGTTACCTGAAGTCAAATTATGTTTGAATCTTAAAACCTAATCGCACGATGAGGTAACTGTTTGTGGTAGTTTAAAACTGTACCAGTTCTAGGTACCTAATCGCACGATGAGGTAACTATTTGTGGTAGTTTAAAACTCTACCATTTCTAGGTACCTAATCGCACGATGAGGTAACTGTTTGTGGTAGTTTAAAACTCTACCAGTTCTAGGTACCTAATCGCACGATGAGGTAACTGTTTGTGGTAGTTTAAAACTCTACAAGTTCTAGGTACCTAATCGCACGATGAGGTAACTGTTTGTGGTAGTTTAAAACTCTACCAGTTCTAGGTACCTAATCGCACGATGAGGTAACTGTTTGTGGTAGTTTAAAACTCTACCAGTTCTAGGTACCTAATCGCACGATGAGGTAACTGTTTGTGGTAGTTTAAAACTCTACCAGTTCTAGGTACCTAATCGCACGATGAGGTAACTGTTTGTGGTAGTTTAAAACTGTACCAGTTCTAGGTACCTAATCGCACGATGAGGTAACTATTTGTGGTAGTTTAAAACTCTACCATTTCTAGGTACCTAATCGCACGATGAGGTAACTGTTTGTGGTAGTTTAAAACTCTACCAGTTCTAGGTACCTAATCGCACGATGAGGTAACTGTTTGTGGTATTTTAAAACTCTACAAGTTCTAGGTACCTAATCGCACGATGAGGTAACTGTTTGTGGTAGTTTAAAACTCTACCAGTTCTAGGTACCTAATCGCACGATGAGGTAACTGTTTGTGGTAGTTTAAAACTCTACCAGTTCTAGGTACCTAATCGCACGATGAGGTAACTGTTTGTGGTAGTTTAAAACTCTACCAGTTCTAGGTACCTAATCGCACGATGAGGTAACTATTTGTGGTCATAGCTTTTAACGATAATGCCAAACATGTTTTGGCTGCGTTTATTGCAGCTCTGAACACACAAGTTTGATCATCTTATGTGACGACCCGGCGGTGGTGCCTGCTACAAAAATGATATGCACCCCCAATTGTACCCCCACTTCATTTCTTCAAAAACTAAAAAAGTAGCTCTAAAATATGTGTAAGAATGCACCAAATTAATTTCATTTTCAAAACTTCTCTCGAGGAAGAAACACGCGCCTATACAATTCCTCGGAGTTGCCTAATTTTGAATCCCATCCGTCGGCTGTTTGTGAGTACACATTTCCATCACTTGTCACAAGCAAGGTTTAGAAAGAACTTGACCATCTCATCAACAAAAGAATTGACTGGATGTAAGAGTCTATTTCCACTGGACACTGACATGTCCCAATAGTCTAGATAGTAGACTCGATCACGAAATTCAAACAGTTCTTTTAATAAGATACTTCTATACACTTTTCCAAAATAGTCGCTTTTCACTATTGGTTTAAAATCGGCTCCTGTAAATGCATGAGGTCCTTTAATGAATATTTTGATTTTTGGATATCTGTTTAAAAGTCTGGTTAACGGAACCTTCAGTGACCGCACCCTCGCTTCAAACAAACTTGTGTGAAAAAATAGAAAATGCGCATACAAATGAACCATTACAAACATCTTGTCTTTATTCTGACTCCACTGAAGTCCGTCTAAATGAAACCCGATTGCTTTCGTGTTATTCAGTAGATCAGGTGTTCGAACCATGGAATACGGTAGGCCGTGGATGCCATATTCAACACGGAAATTACTGTCATGGACATCACAGTACCGTTGTACTCTATCGTGTGGCCGGTTTCCTATGAATGTGGTATTAGTACACTTCGTTAACCTCAGGAAAGACTGAAATATCTGTCTCACGGTCGAATCTCCAACAAGATAGACATGTAAATCGCGAATGCAACGCGATAGTCTTTGACGAGTTATTTGCCCCTGACAGAATGAGGGATGCCATGTGTTGTTATTGAAATAACCAAGAGGTGCTGTGTTCGTCCATGTAAATCTTGACTTATAGGAACTACAGTATGGTAAATTCACAACTGTGCCTAGAAGGATAAAAATATCAATATCATCGTATGATCTGAAATGACTTAATGAAATACATCGGAGTTTCACGCCATATTTTTTTAGCTTCTATTAGAAGCTGGAGAAAAATGGAAGTATTAAATATTTTAAGCGAGAGGTTTTGTTCTTTAGAACATTTTCCTCAGTTGGCTTCAGTCAGATAAACATCGTCTCAATTGATCTATATGACAGAGTTTTTCATCCATCATGGGAGATGTCCCCACTTTCAGAAATGTGGATTGGGAAGGGTCCGCTGCTACATTATTTTCGAATTCAAGACGATGGAGGCGACGGGTTGTTAAGGGGAATAATTTAAAAATCAAAGTGCTTAGAATCTGCATTTTCAATACTCTTTCAATATTACATTCTTATAATGTGTATTTCTACACAAAACATTTAGGGGCCGCTGAGAGCCGCCATTGACCAAATATCGACTATAAAAAGAAACAAAGGAACATACCTATGTTTATAGTTATACTTTTTGATTTTAATTCATTGACTCTATTTTGCCTGTAAGTAGAGTAGAAAACGGAAAATAACAAATAAAAACTTGTGGAATCTCTAGGTCCACGGCCTTCCCCTCCCCCAAAACATAAGGGGCCCAAATCTCAGAAATGCAGAAGGTAATATGTTAAAACAGCCCCAACCCACTTAAGTTAAAGGGCCCCCCATTCATCTAGTCGAGCCACTGGAGTGCAAACCGACTAAGCTACAAACCACAAAAACTAAAGCTGACATTGTGGATATTGGCGAAAGAGTTGCATTTAACAATGTAACCATTATCTGCCCTTGTCTTCTAGCATTATCATAACCCTTGTCCGAAACTAAAGCCCTACGCATTTATTTTTTTGTGATAATAATTCAACTTACCGAGACAATATTTTACTTTCCAAATTATTCATACGTTGTTTACTATAATTTATGGTATGCAATATCCGAAGGTCAGAACAGGCTACTTTTGGCGAGTTCGGTTGCCCACAGTAATATGGATTAAGATTAAAGTTGGTGAAATTACAAACTCGTGGATAAAGAGGTATATCATGGAAGGGCGAGCACAGCGTCATGAACGTGTCGCCACCTCGCAAAAATCTGCCCACGGAATATCGTAGTACTTTTGATTCGCGTCGAGTTCGTAACAGAATTCTTAATTCTTCACGTGAATAAGCTATGGATACGTGTATTTTTGATTTCCCGGTCCAGAATGCCTTTACTTCAGCCACATAGGTCCCGTTGTGAAGATCGTACACCTCCCCACCGGCCTGGAAGTTCTCCCCAGTAATCCACACCCTGACGTCATCACCTCCTCGCTTCAAAAGCTGACCAAATCCATTGTATAGCTGTATCTTCACTGTTACCGCTTCATATTGGTTAAACACTGTATTTTTAGTTGAGATAATAGAATAATTAGAGCTAGGAAGATCACGAAGGTCCTTTATTTCGCCCTCCTCTAACAACTCCTTCTCGCCTTCTATAAAATAGTCGTCAGCAGTCGTATCTTTAACGTATACCACATTTTCGGAGAGAAATTTATTAAATATATCCTCCGAGCGAACGTCATCGTGTTTCATATTGTAGTCTTCCAGAGAAGGCGATTGTCGTTCTGGAAACATCAGCTTACGTTTTGGCGTATTTTGACTATAAAACGGTATCGGTTCAATATTCGGACGCATATTGATCTGATACTTTATTGTATGCATGATTCTACAATAGAATTGATCAAAGAAACATTAGAAATCGAACAGCTGTAAAAGAAACTATCATAAATTGTTTAAAGGATTTTTACGGAGCCCCTTAGGCGCTATTTTGAACGAATTAATTATTTCGTTAAGACGAAATATTTCATAAAAGTATGGAAAATTGCGCCTTAAGGGCTCTATAGATTTTAACTCATCGAAAGAATTTTAAAACATTTATACTTAATTTAACATTTTTACTTACTTTTTTCAGTACATATACTTACTTAATTACTGAAGGTGCACTCACACCATTATCGATTACCAATTGTGATTGATTGCGAATAATAAACTCACAACTCGGTTGCATGAGAATTGTATTAGTCACAACCATTCGCAACTTGGTGTGAGTGCACCTTTAACCACCGATATGTGTTAAACTTACTTCAGACCAAAAACTGTCGCTATGATCAAACAGCAAATAAGAACAAGTTTCTTCGTCAACGCCATTTTTTTCCACATTCAATGGATCATGAAAGCACTGAAAGTATAAAGATCAAATGTATTTATTCAAGACAATACGATTATTGAGATTCTAGAACTAGTGCAGTCTAATTAAACTTAAATTACAATTTCTTTCTATCTCCATTGGTTGATAGATGACAAGTTAATGTTCGCTTCCAACTGATGCTAATATCGCGAACTAGGTAGTTGTTGGTAGTTGGATTGGATCAAATTGGATGATTCTGTGTTGTTGGTTTGGTTGTTGATTCTTCGTTAGATCTGGTCGGGTCGAATGACATGGCGGTGAAACTCGGCCCTGGATGGTGTGGCGTGAGTTACTCGATCTCTTTCATTCTTCCAAACTCGTTCTGATCATGGTATTTCTTGTTGAATGGTAGTCGTTGGTTTGGTTTGGTTTGGTTTGGTTAGATTATCTAATAACAGTAGGAAAACTAGAAGACTAGAAAACAGTAGCTGGTTGGTTGGTTGGTAGATAAGAAGTTAACGTTCGCTTCCAGCGGATGCTGATATCGCAAACAAGGTAGTAGTTGGTAGTTGGATTGAGATTTATACCAAGGTACCGTACTGGTGACGCTACAAGCTATTTATAGCAGTCAATCACGCGTCACTCTCATATCTTTCACATTGCAACACATTTAAAGACAACATAAATAATATTATATAATACAGTATTGTGAACGTATATAACGTATATACAAAGAGTTCACTTATAGCAAAAGTATTATATATAAAGCTGAAATTAGCCTGAGCAATTAGAATCAATCTGAATTAGTCAGCAATATTCGATTGAGTCACATTTGAAGCTGAATTAGTCAGCAATATTCGATTGAGTCAAATGTGAAGCTGAATTAGTCAGCAATATTAGATTGAGTCAAATGTGCAGCTGAATTAGTCAGCAATATTCGATTGCGTCAAAAGTGGAGCTGAATTAGTCAGCAATATTCGATTGCGTCAAATGTGGAGCTGAATTAGTCAGCAATATTCGATTGAGTCAAATGTTAAGCTGAATTAGTCAGCAATATTAGATTGAGTCAAATGTGAAGCTGAATTAGTCAGCAATATTCGATTGAGTCAAATGTGAAGCTGAATTAGTCAGCAATATTCGATTGAGTCAAATGTGAAGCTGAATTAGTCAGCAATATTCGACTGAGTCAAATGTGAAGCTGAATTAGTCAGCAATATTAGATTGAGTCAAATGTGAAGCTGAATTAGTCAGCAATATTCGATTGCGTCAAATGTGAAGCTGAATTAGTCAGCAATATTAGATTTGGTCAAATGTGAAGCTGAATTAGTCAGCAATATTCGATTGCGTCAAATGTGAAGCTGAATTAGTCAGCAATATTAGATTGAGTCAAATGTGAAGCTGAATTAGTCAGCAATATTAGATTGAGTCAAATTTGAAGCTGCCAGCCCAGATTAGAACCGATCAACTTCAATGTTCCACGTGACATTTAAAGTTTCCAATGCTTGAGCCAACTGTACTACCACCCGCCCCCAGAGATACACTATTAATATGTATACAAACTCACTTGAATGTGTCTTTCCATCCAATATCCCAGCAGTCTAATCAATATACCAATTGACAGGTGTCATTTCGAACATATCGAGCTGTAACAAAAGTAACACATCTGGACTCACAAGCTTTGTAATAAAAATTTATATCGATTTTAGATAAAAAAAAAAACATAACTATCGAAATGACTAGAAATTTCTTATAATTCCAATAAAGGGATCATTGTTAAGGGTTGTCATTCTAGGCGGCAAATCTAACAACAACAAAACTAGAGTTATCTTATCTTGGTCTACAGTCTCTTTTATCCAGACACTCAACAGCACTGGTCTATATAAACCCTATATAATATATATCGTCACAGACTTCTTAAGGGATCGCCAGATACAAGTGAACGTCGCCAATTCTCTCAGCGAGAAGCACTCGTTGGAGAATGGCACCCCGCAAGGCTCTGTTATTAGCCCTACCCTCTTCAGCATCATGATCAACGATCTTGCCCTGGATTATGTAAAGCATATAGAGCTCTCGGTTAGCACGGCTCTATATGCAGATGACAGTTCGATATGGACTGGTCACAATGACCTCAATAAGTTAAATGGCGTATGCAAACTGCTCTGAACCAAGTTGCTAAATGGGCAAACGACTGGGGCTTCATTATTTCGGAAGCTAAAACCGTCGGTTTGTTCTGCAGCAGAAAGAAAGATCACGACAGTATTGACCTTAGACTGAATGGTGTGAAGATTAAGCATGAGAATTCAGTAAGGTTCCTGGGAGTACACTTTGACAAGTGTCTGACTTGGAGTACGCACATTGACTATATCTGTAACCGGTCTACAAAAATCTTAAATGTTATGCGTTATGTTTCAGGTACCACATGGGGAGCAAACAGAGAAACTCTAATGATGATGTACAGGTCACTGGTTCGTTCAGTTATTGATTATGGTTGTATTGCCTATGGCAAAGCAAGTGATACTCAACTGAAGAAACTCGACGTTCTACACATGAAAGCTATACGTATTGCCACCAGGGCAGTCGTAGGTACAAAGAATGAGGCGCTACTTCAGGAGGTGGGAGAGAAACCCCTCTCTCTTCGGAGGGAGGAGCTATCTCTCAAATTCTGGGGGAAACTTAAGTAATTGTCCGAAAGCTGTCCAACGTATTCCAGCATCAGAAGATTTACTCGTGTCGGAAATAACCAGAAGAATCGTAGTATTTCTTACGGGCAAGCGGTCACTGATCTATTGAGAGAGCATCAGCTCGATCAAGTAACGATCCTTGAACGACGCCTATCGGCTACTCCGTTTTGGAAGGTTACCAACCCGACAGTCAACACCCAGCTGATCCAGAATAGCAACGCGCTCTTGATCTCATTGATTCCGTGTACGCCGACCATTTGAAGATCTACACCGATGGTTCCAAGAGTAGTACCGCAACAGGTTACGGTTTGTGCATCCCAGCAAAAGGCATCCGCTTCAGTAAAAGGATCCCCCCGCACTGTTCAGTGTTCACAGCAGAACTTTTTGCCATCAGGGACGCGGTAGCATGGCTGTCCGTCAATCACACGGAACATGCCGCGATTCTATCCGACTCGCTAAGCAGCCTCCAATCTATTTTTCTCACCTCTTCTAATTGCAGGTCAGAAGTTATTTCCGAAATAAGAAGAATGATCCACAACTACCAAACCAACAACGACCAGAAGATTGAATTAGTATGGGTTCCATCGCACGTCTCCATTCCTGGCAATGATCAAGCAGACCGTTGTGCCAAGGAAAGTCTGAGTCTGGAGGATATCGAGCCTGTAGAATACTCCTATTCGGAGTTCTGCAGTATCGTATCTTCTAGGATCAACCAGAAATGGTCTGACATGTTACGGAACCTCGACACCGCAAGATACCAGATTGATCCGAAGATACCAAACCAAACCAAACCAAACCATCCATATGTAGCCATCTGCAAAGTGGCAACCAGACTCCGGACCAACAACATACTACGAGACCATCAGTTCAACGCCATTAAATGTCGCTGTGGCCACGTTGCCACAAGGTCGCATGTCCTCATTCAATGCACTGAACTGAAACCCGCTCGTAAGCCACTACTAGAGTACCTGGAAACCAACGGCATACCACTCACCATACAGAATGTTTTGGCTCCACCCACGGACCACTGGTATACGATAATGGAACTAGTCTTCCATTTTATAACCAAAACAGATAGGCTAAGTTTTTTTACTCAAAGTTTCTTAACACTTTTTAATTATATCCTATCAATTTAACAAGTTTCATTGCAGAAACATTAGAAAACATCTCTCCCCCTTTTGTGAAAGCTTCCCCCCCCCCCCTCTTTCCTCCCTCTTTTCTCACTTCCTTTTTTTTCTTTTTTTTTCAGGTCTTCGAGTTTTCCAACAGATAACAGATAATCTAACCAAACCAAACCAAACCAACGACTACCATTCGACTACCACTCAACAAGAAATACCATCATCAGAACAAATTTGGAAGAATGAAGGAGACCGAGTAACTCACGCTACACCATCCAGGGCCGAGTTTCACCGCCATGTCATTCGACCCGACCAGATCTAATGAAGAATCAACAACCAAACCAACAACACCGAATCATCCAATTTGATCCAATCCAACTACCAACTACTACGACTACCAACAACTACCTAGTTTGCGATATCAGCACCAGCATTCATTTATAGAATAAACGAGTATTAACGAAGAAAAGGTTATCTTATTATTTCAGTGGTACGACCCCTTTATTACACGCTCATTATCACTTTATATAATGAAAGCGATGGAAATCAGAGAAGAAATGTTAAGAATCAGACATTCAAAGCAACAATTTTTATAGTGTATATAGTGAAATCTAATAAATTTGAAATCATAACCGTGGTATTTCTATATCACTCTACAATTGACGTATTGGGCACTATTTTAACAGTGGTATTTCTATATCGCCCTACAATTGATGTATTGAGCACTATTTTAAAAATGGGATTTCTATATCGCTCTACAATTGATGTATTGAGCACTATTTTAACAGTGGTATTTCTATATCACTCTACAATTGATGTATTGAGCACTATTATAACAGTGGTATTTCTATATCACTCTACAATTGATGTATTGAGAACTATTCTAACAGTGTTATTTCTATTTCACTCTACAATTGATGGATTGAGCACTATTTTAATACTGGTATTTATATATCACTCTACAATTGATGTATTGAGCACTATTTTAACAGTGGTATTTCTATATCTCTCTACAATTGATGTATTGAGCACTATTTTAACAGTGGTATTTCTATATCACTCTACAATTGATGTATTTAGCACTAATTTAACAGTGGTATTTCTATATTGCTCTACAATTGATGTATTGAGCATTATTTTAACAGTGGTATTTCCATATGGCTCTACAATTGATGTATCCAGCATTATTTTAACAGTGGTATTTCTATAACACTCTACAATTGATGTATTGAGCACTATTTTAACAGCGGTATTTCTATATTGCTCTACAATTGATGTATTGAGCACTATTTTAACAGTGGTATTTCTATATCACTCTACAATTGATGTATTGTAGTAGATTAACCTTCATCGTATTAATGTTTAATTATAAATCTCATATAGAGATTAACTATCACCTGAAATGGAAGACAGGGTATTATCGCTAATTAAGCTTAGTTGTTGATTAGAGGGATTTGGCTATAGCTTTGATTACTATGCTGGGTTGCCACAAACAAACTGTTTGTTAGATCTGTATTTGATTATAGATACAGCGTCCTAGAATGGGCTATATAACTCAGCCTCTGCCATATTCTTCAAGTAACAACTGAAGCAATACAAATTATATTATCTAAACCCTGTCTTCTATCATTTCAAGGTAAGGTTCAGTTTATATATATTTATTATATTATATGAGAGCATTGGTAGTCACAGCCTGATAGGGAATCTATAAAAGCAATTAATCAAACGTTATTATACTTTGAGCCTTAGATTCCATACTTGCCTGTTGACTGCCCCAACTGGTGCAACTCGGTGGATAATCTATAAAAGCAACTATTCAATTATATTAAATTGAGCCTTAGATTATCTACCAAGGCTGCACCAGGACTCAATGCGTAACTCACAAGTGCACAAGATAATGTTGGA